GTTCAAACCGACCTTGCAGTTGAATGCTTATCCTATAGGACCACATCAGGACTCCCAGTCAAACATACGCAGGTCTATAAGGGGGAGTCCTGGTGTGGTGCTGTGGGTTAATGTGCTGGACTGCAAGGTCAGTTTGGACCAGAAGGTCAGCAGTTCCAGCTCACCAGCCACTCCTCAGAAACCCTATACAGGGTCGTTATGAGTCAGCGCCGACTCGACAGCACTTAACAACAACAACAACATAAGGTGAATATTAACAGTACGGAGGCGGCACATACTCCTTAGAATAATCAACCGTTTGAGACCAAAAGAGCAGCATTTACCCAAGGACAAAGTTCAGAAGGGTTAGGATAGGAGGAGGACTGGAAATGGGAAACACAGGAGGAAGTGAGATGAGTGATGTTACATTGTGGGGACTGTAATCAATGGCATGACACAAAATGGGTCTGAATGGTTGAATGGGAAACTGTCTTGCTCTCTTTTCTTTCACCCAATTCACAATACAAAGGGCAATACATACATATAAAAGGGGGGACTCACACCCCTACCTTCACCTCACAGGGTGGTCTGGGTGCTAAGAGTCACATTGCCAGCCCTGGGGATGCAGGTTTATCTGTACACAGCCCAGTGACAGCAGTCAGATGCAGCAAAAGTGGCCTTGGATCCTCCTAACTTCCCCTTAGAGGGGAACAAGTGTGTGAAACATTACATGCTGTTTTCAAGAGTCTCAAAGAAGTTGTAGGCAGCAGCTCTGAGGGCAGACTGGTGCCCCCTTTCCCCACTGCCCCATTGCACCTCCTGTGCTTGCAAACCTCAGAACTGGGCATCAGCATCACAAGGGGAGTTTGCTAAAAATGAGAACCCCATCTCACTGTTCTGGACTCCTGATGTGGAGCTATAGGACCAGTAATGGACTGCTAAGCCAAGGTTGGTGGTTCAAATACACCAGCTGCTCCTTAGAAACCCTATACGGAGTCGCTATGAGTCAGAGCTGACTCGACATCACACAACCACATTCCCCTATCCCAGCTCCAAGATTCTGACTCAAAGGATCTAGGGAGGGGCTGGGGGTGGCCTATGCTTTGACTTGAATCCCTGGGATACATGTCTAGGTGTATCAGCTCCACTCAGGCCCTTCTCAGGACTCTGCGTACTTCTGGGCTCCACACACACACACACACACACATACACACACACAGAGAGAGAGAGAGAGAGAGAGTCCCCTGGTGACTGCATGAATGCACAAACAAACGAATGACATTTGGAACAGCAGGAGCCCCTGCCTCTGCCGGAGAATCTGGCTCCCCTTTTGGAGCCTCACGTATCCCGGACACTCTGATCGTCATACACCATCTGCTGTGGACCACACAGGCCAGATGCAGCAGACCCATGAGGACAATCTACTCCAGTTCAAGAGTCCCGCAGGCCCCAGCTCTGCGCAGTGATGCCAGGGGCAAAACAGAGCAGTCTTGTTGCCTAACCCTGTTTGTTGGTCACGGTGGCCTGCTAGGCATCAGCTCAGCCACAGAACAACCAGGACAGCATCCCTGCCATTGCCACTTGAGCAAGCACGGTGGCCATTTAAGCTGTGAAATGGGAGCACTCTTATCCCCATTTTGCAGGAGAGAAAATCAAGGCTCAAAGAGATGAAGTGAATTCCCCAAGAGCACGTGGTAATTTAGGCTAAAGTCTATGTTGTCCCTGAGCCCTTGCTTCTGCCACAAACAGAACCTGAGGTGGGGGAAAAGGGTTGTTAGGTACTGTCGAGTTGGTTCTGACTCACAGTGATACTATGCACAACAGAACACTGCCTGATCCTGTGCTATTCTTACAACTATTATGGTTGAGCCCATTGTGGCTGATACGGTGTCAATCCATTGTGTTGGAGGTCTTTCTCTTTGTCGATGACCTAGTCTTTGTGTGGTGCTTTAGGATAAGTACCGGACTGCTAACTACAAAGTCAAACCCACCACTCCTCTGAAATCCTTTACAGGGTCACTATGAGTCAGAACTGACTGGATTGTAAATAACAGCAACTCTTTACCAAGCATGATGTCCTTCTCTAGGAACCAGTCTCTCTTGAAAACATGACCAAAGTAGGAGAGACAAAGCCTTGCTATCCTTCCCTTTAAGGAGCATTCTGGCTGTACTTCTTCAACACAAATTTGTTTGATCTTCTGGAAGCCCATAGTATTTTTAATATTTTCCAACACCATAATTCAAATGCATCGATTCTTCTCTGGTCTTCTTTATTCATTGTACAACTTTCACATGGATTTGAGGCTATTGAAAATACCATGGCGTGGGTCGGACACACCTTAGTTCTCAAACGGATAGGTTTGCACTAAATACTTTAAAGAGGTCTTTTGCAGTATTTGCCTAATGTAATATGTCCTATGGTTTTGGGACTGCTGCTCCCATGAGTGTTGATTGTGGATCCAGGCAAATGAAATCTTTGACAACTTCAACTGTTCTTCATTTATCACAATGTTATTTATTGGTCCAATTGTGAGGATTTTGTTTTCTTTACATTGAGGTGCAATCCACACTTAATCTTTATCAGTAAGTATTTTACTGATACAATCCATACTTTGATCTTTATCAGTAAGTATTTTAAGTCCTCTTCACTTCCAGCAAGCAAATTTGTATCATCTGCATATTGCAGGTTGCTAATGAGTTGTCCTCCAATCTGGATGCCACGTTCTTCTTCATATAGTTCAGCTTCACAGATTATTTGCTCAGAATACAGATTAAGTAAATATGTTGAAAGGATACACCCTGGTGCACATCTTTCCTGATTTTAAATGACGCAGTGTCCCTTGTTCTGTTCTAATGACTGCTCTTGGTCATGTACAGGTGCCTCAAGAACACAATTAAGTGTTATGGAATACTCATTCTTTACATGGAACTGTGCTCCATAGGGTTTGCAATGGCTAATTTTTTCAAAGTAGACTGCCAGACCTCTCTTCCAAGATGCCTCTGGGAACACTTGAACCTCCAACCTTTCTGATAGCAGCTGAGTGCGTTAACATTTATACTACCCATGGCTCCTAGTTTAAGATATTAGGAGTGAATGCTAAATCAGTAATATTATATGCAGGATTCCTAGTGGCACAATAGTTAAGTGCTTAATTGCTACCCAAAAGGTAGCCTATATCAGTTAATCTGCAGGAGACAGACGTGGCAGTCTGCCTCTGTAAAATTTAGTCTCAGAAAACTTACAGGGCAGTTCTAGTCTTTACTATAGGATCACTATGCGTCAGAATTGACTCCGTGGTTATGAGTCAATATATCACATACAAGTAAAATTATGCTGAAGATTGCATCAGTGCATGAACAGGGATCTGCTGAAGGTCAAGCAAGATTCAGAAAAGGATATGGAGCAGGGATACTGTTACTGGTGTCAAGTGGATCTGGGCTAAAAGAAGAGAATACCAGAAAGATATTTAATTGACTACACAAAGGCATTTGACCTTGTGAATCATCATAAACTATGAATAACATTGCAAAGAATGGGTTTTCCAGAACACTTAACTGTGCTCCTGTAGACCCTGTAAATAAACCCAGAGGCAATCATTTGAACAAAGCAGCAGGACAGACCTGCATCAAGACTGTACTCTTTCACCAAATTTATTCACTCTGTCTACTGAGCAAATTAACTTAAGAAGTTGGACTATATTAAGAAGAACGTGGCACCAAAATTGGAGGAAGACTCATTAACAGCCTGCAGTGTGCAGATGAGACAACCTTGCTTGATGCAAATGAAGAGGATTTGAAGCACTTACTGATGAAGGTCAAAGACTACAGCCTTCATTATGAATTATATCTCGGCATAAAGAAAACAAAAATCCTCACAACCACACTAATAAGCAACATCACAGTTAACAGAGAAAAGACTGACGTTATCAAGAATTTCCTTTTACTTGGATCCACAATCAACACTCATGGAAGCTGCAGTCAAGAAATCCAATGATGTTGCATTGAGTAAATTTGTAAGAGACATCTTTAGAGTCTTAAAAAGGAAATATGTCATTTTGAGAAATAAGGTGAACCTGACCCAAGTCATAAGGTGAACCTGACCCAAGTATTTTAAATTGCCTCATATTCATGTGACATCTGGACAATGGGTAAAGAAGACTGAAGAAAAACTGATGTCTTTGAACTATGGTGTTGGCAAAGAATATTGAATCTATCACGGACTGCCAGAAGAATGAAGAAATCTGTCTTGGAAGAAGTATAGCTAGAATGCTTCTTAGGAGCAAGGATGGTGAGTCTTTGTCTCATTCACTTTGGACATGTTATCATGAGGGACCATGCTTGGTAAAGTAGAGGGTCAGTGGAAATGAGGAAGACCCTCAACGAGATGGACTAACACAGTGACAACAAAAATGGGCTCAAGCATAGAAACAATTGGGAGGCTGGTGCAGGACTGGGCAGTGTTGTGTTCTGTTGTGCCCAGGGTCACTATGAATTGGAACTGAGTTCACAGCATCTAGGTACAACAGCACTGAATCACTTCTGACTCATGGAGACCCTAGGTGAGTTGGAGTAGAACTGTGTTCTAGGGCGCCTGCAGTGGTTTGTTTTTCTGAAGCAGACTGCCAGACTTTTGTCTTCCAAGGGGTCTCTGGTTGGATTTGAACCTCCAACCTTCCAGTTAGTAGCTGAATGTAGTGTTCAGACCCCCCAGCGACACCTACTTTAAGATACCACGGGGGAATTCATGGATTGTATATTCTGATAGCTAAGTCCTTTGAAAAAGAAAACAACAACAAACACCACAAAAAACAAAATTAAGTTTGGAAGTGGGGGGACCACATCAGAGGCTGGGAAAGATTACGTGTAGACAAGTCTATTCTGGAACATTCCCAGAGGTTTAGGTGATAATGCAGGTGGCTTCAGTGGGCACCACAGGAATTGAAGGCTGGGGCCTCAGCAGGCACTGGGGAGATGTAGCCTGCATGGTGACAGGTTGGTGAGGGCAGCCAGCGTATACTCACGTTGTACCCAGTTTCCGCTCACTGGGCTGAGGAAGTTGGGGTAGAGGCCAAAGGGCTTCTCAATCTTCCTGAGGACCTTTCGGATGTTCCTGACCTGCCGAGAGATGGACACCAGGCGCCCCTTCACTGACCCAGTCCCAGCCCACCAGGAACAGCTGCTTTAGACTCCCTGAGAGAATCATTTCCCGCCAGGCAGGAATGAGCAGCAGCCTCTGTTCTGGGGGTGGAGAGGCAGCTTTGACCTTGGTGCCCACCTGCAGGACGCATAGCACCTCCCCACTGACGGCGCAATCCCCATGGGGGCCCACTGTTTGCCAAACTCTGCCCCCACCCTCACCTCACCCTTTTCTCATCACAGATCACTGGATGGATCCTATTGGCTGGGGGTGGGTGGGTATTGGTTCATATAAGTGAAAGTCATTCAATTACAAGCAGTAAGGTAAAATTGCCTTTTTAATCGGTCCCAAATGGTCAAATACTGGCAATTCAAGCTTTGCTGTTCTGCACCATGAGTCGATGTTGATTCATAGAGACTGTGTATAACAGGAGAACTGCCCCACAGGATTTCCTAGGCTGCAGTCTTTACGGGGAATCCTGGTGTGATACTGTCAGATAAGCACTGGATTGTTAACCACGAGGGCGGCAGTTTAAACCCACCAGTCACTCTTTGGAAACCCTATACAGTGTTGCTATGAGTTGGAACCGACTCAACAGCACTTAACAACAACAAGAACAACAAAGCATTATGGGAGCAGATGGCCAGGTTTTTTCACCTAGTAATCAGTCATTTAATCTGATGCCGTAGGAACCATTTGGAGGAAAGATTTAGGATCCTGAACACCTTCATGCCTTACCAAGCATCTGATGGTCTTAATAATACTGTTAACAACAACAGTAATAGCTGTTAACTCTTATCTCACAGTTCCTTAGAGGAGACCCTTTATATACAGTATCTTCAACCCTCATTACAACCTATAAGATGTTATCATGTCAGATGAGACACCGGAATGTCACACAGGTTCACGGTCACCTGGTTGACCAGTGGCAGGGTTGTCTGAGCATGCTCTCTATACCACTTGGAGCTGCCCAGCTTTGTCCCGGAACAGGGTGGAAACCCCACAGCAACATGCAGCCAGAAGCTGCCCTGGTCAGAGCAAGGAGAGGTTGGACTGGCAACCTTTGGGGCATTAAAGGACAGACAACACCTCCACAGCCTTTATTATCTGCAGGTCTCTGCTCTCTGGTGGTACATGAACTCCCCCAGCACAGAATCCAATGGGGGTGGGGAGAAGGGAGAGCTGCCTTTCAACTGTCAGCACTTTCTGTCCAGGGGCCAGCACTTTGCTTTGCTACTTCCGATTGCGTATCCATTTATGTTAACAGAGTCCATTATGGGGGACGGGGAATGTGTTTGTACCTGAGTTATTCTCCACTGTCCTGGTGGTGAGCAGTGAAGCAGGTTAAATGAGCTCCCCCAGAGGGTGCAGGAGCCTGGAGAATTTGGACCAATTTGTTGACTGCCAATAATCGCCTCTGTGGGAAGCAGGATTGGGGAATGAAAATAGCTGGAGAATGTAAATGTAGAGAGGGAGAGGCAGAGGGGTGGATGGACTCCCAGGAAGCCTTGCTGTGACAAGGCTGAACACCCTGTTCTAATCTGGACTCAAGAGCAGGGACTTCAGAGCTATCAAGTGCTGGGTTTGAAACCCGGCTTAGCAATCACCAGCTGGATGACCCAGGGCAAGTTATGGGACCTCCATGAGCCTTAGTTTTCCCTCTGTAACATGGAGTAACAGGAAGACCACCTCATAGGGCTGTTGGGAGTTTTTACAGATACTGTAAGGTGGCCAGCATATAGTAGGTATGGAGTCAACAGTAACTATTATTTCCCAACTAGAGTGAGTTCCTCCTCCCACCCCATTCTGAGCTGCTCAGAATCTTCTTGGAGGAGCCTGGCTCAAGAGCACTGGAAGCAGGTAGGCTAGGGGATGGGAAAAACCCCACTGCTTTCACGAACTCACAGTGACCCTATAAAACAAAGCAGAAACCTAGGTTTCCGAAACTGTAAATATTTACGGGTGCAGATTGCCTTCTCTTTCTCCATCAGAGCACCTGGTGGGCTCAGACTCTTGGCCTTGAGGTTAGCATCCCAGCTGGGCCACCAGGGCTCCTTTGAAGTGGGGAAGGGGTCAGAAAACAAGACCCACTGGAGGTAGAATGAGCTGTTTTCCATGAGCTTTTGAGGAGGGGTGTCTCAGGGAGGCAGGGTCCCCTCAATATGAGGAAAAGGTCCAGCAGTATGATGGACAGACTGAGGGTGGAAGTGAGCTCCACGTCAGAGGGAGTGATCTAGAAGAACACTCGGGTGTATTCCTACACTGGGTACACAGAATAGCCTTAAACCCAGAGTCAAAAAGCACTTGGATCCTTATTAGAAATGCAGAGTCCCAGGACTGTGAATTTCTGGACCCAGAGAGCTGTTTTTTAACAGGTGTGCCAGACAATGCTTGGTGCTGACCTGGAGAGTGGGAGCCACTGGACAGAGGTGGGAACCCATGATCTCCCAGCTCCCTTCACATTCTAAGAGGCTGACATTCTGGGGAGTGGGGGCCTCAAAAATGTCCTTCTTGTAGGGGTCTGAAGGGCAGGACTCGGGATAACGCTGATGGAGCCAGAGTGCTCCTTTGCTGTTTGATGTGCAACCATCCCTTCTTTGGCTTAGGGGTAGACCTAAAGAGACAATTCTGGACAATGGGGACTGCCACCGGCTGCCAGGCTGAGGATAGTTTACAGAGAGGCCAGGTCCAGGAAGACGTCAGGCCTGGCTCCGTCTCTCACCACCACTGTGGCCTCTAGGCAGCAACCCCCCCACCCAACAGTCACGTGAGGAGGAACCACTCCATCTATGTTTGATGGGGAGAGTTTCCATGCAGCCTGTCAACAGCATGAGCTAGAGTGGCATCTGGGAGGAACAGAAAGCAGATTGCACATGAAAAGTGAAATGTCCCTAGAAAGGGAATTTTTTTGCACAGGGTAGCCAATTCCTGCCAATGTGCGATGGTGTCTAGAGTTCGGTTGTTCCATTTTCTTCGGATTTCACACATGTGTGGTTGATACTGAGCTGACACATTATCAGTGAGAAACTTCTCCCTGACAGAACTATCTCTTCCCTGCCTTCACAGACTCCTGATGACCCCCATGCCCAGCTCCCTGGCACCTGACATTAGGGAAGATGCCCTGCAATGATTATTTACTGTAGTATTCGAGAATGGGGGCTCCTGGGCTCCCCATCTGCCTGTTGAGGAGAGAGAGGAAACTGCCGGGGAGACTTGCCTTTTCGGCGAAGACCTGGTTGCCAGAGAGCTCAGTGAGGTGTAAGAACTCCAAATGCAGGGATCCAAACTCTGCCAGGATGCTGCTGCTCCCTGCTGTGGCCCAGCCCCAGCTTCCGTTGGAGCCGCTGCAAAGACAGAAACAGCCCCAGTCAGCCCCTGCTGGCCTGGCTCCCGCTGGCTTTGCTCAGTAGAAGAGCACCTGCTGTAAAACCATACAATGTCAGGTGATCCTCCCTGTGGGGAGTAACAGTGATAGCCCCATTTTCCTGATGAGGAAACTGAGACTGCTGAAGGCTTGTCTGACCTGCAATGGTCTTTGTACCATCAGGCGGCCCCTGTTAAGCTTGGGGGCTCAAGAAGGGCAGTAGCAGAGCAGCCTTGCTCATCAAGAACTGGCAACAAATGAGGCCCGATTTTCAGGTGAATTGGGAACATTGTCAGGGACCAGGAAACCCCCACAGAATACACAAGACATGCTCCACTGAAGGCCTTGATTGCTCCCATCAGAGGTACACGGGGCTGTGGCTCAGGTTCCAGTGGAGGCAGGTCACAACGCAGAAAGCACCTGGGATAGGGGCCTTGTCTGGTCCTGCCCTCTCCCTACAGCTGTCAATGCCGACCAGGGATGCAACAAGTCTCTAAATGTGACCCTTATGGAACTTACACCTGATGGTCAGCAGCCCTAGTGTAACCCAGGTAGCCTGGGCTAGGGGCGAAAGAGGCAGAGGCCCTGGGACCAGAGGTGTTCTCACCCATTAACTATGGGCTTCCCCCAAATACCTGAGATACAGCAGTGGGTCTGGTCAATAAGGCCTGTAGACTGGCTTTGGAAGACTTCCATTTACCGGGAGCTATCGCTGCAGGTGTCCTGGTGTGGCGCTGTGGGTTAATGCGCCAGACTGCAAAGCAGTTTGAACTGCAAGGTCAGCGGTTCAAGCTCACCAGCTGCTCCTTGGAAACCCTGTATAGGGTCGCTATGGGTCAGAATTGACTCGATGGCACTTAACAACAACAACACATCTCTGCAGAATAATGCACTGGACCACAAGGTTGGCAGTGGTTCAAACCCACCAACGGCTCCTCAGAAAGTCTATACAGGGTCATATGGGTTGGAACCGACTCAATGGCACTAAATAACAAATTCAGGAAAATCGAGGTATAGACCTTGTGAGACACCTGTGGAGTTCATGTAAGTGGAGTGAGGAGGGTGGGGTTCAGGAGAGGGGAGCAAAGCTGGCTCTCATGCCAGAGCGTGTTCAAACCACAGCACAGCACGTCCCTCTCTTTCATTTCCTATTTGATCTTTGAACCAGCCTCCCTGTGAACCAGAGCTTCAAACAGGTTCACTCCTGGTCTATCCTCTGGCTGAGAATTTGCACTTTCACCCCACATATACCAAATCAGAACCTACTTTAGGTGATGGTGATTCTTATATATGGCAAGAGGCTCAGGGAGGAGCACGCTTTGTTCATCATCACAGAGCTGGTTCATGGTGCAGGTAGGGTCATCTGGATCCCAGAGGTCTGGTAGTTCTCCGCCATAGACCCTCCACCATTCACCTGGAGGGAGGGAGAACTCTCCCCTCTCTGTCCCTCCTCCCACAGGCCAAGGAGTCCCCTCTCCAGCCTGAGGTTGCAGTGGGAGTGCAGGCACCCACAGAGACTTTCCTGAATAATTAATACTTTCTGTCCTCCTGGGGAAGTTTAAGGTTAAAAAACAAAAACCTCATCCCAGCCATCTTGCTTTTTGTTCTCACTTCCCCGCTCCCTGCAAGGCCTTTCCTTCCTCTCTCCTGCCCACACCTTCCCCACTGGGCTTCCTGTAGTGTAGCTGCCTGGGGCGGGGCAGGTGGTGTGGGGCATCAGCCCTCTCTCTGACTGGCTCCCAGCTGTGTTGTTTATTAGGCAGTTAGTTAGCAGTTTCCTCCTCTGTTAGGACAATAGTGCCCGCAAGTCCTAGCACTACTATCAATATATATCAAAAGTAGAATTATTGTCCTTCTTATCATTATGAATTATGTAAATGTAAAGCTGACGTCCTGTCCGTGGTACAGAGGCCAAAGTGCTCGACCATCCACTGAAAGGTCAATGGTTTAAACCCACCAGCTGCCCTGCAGGAGAAAGACATGGCAGTCTGCTTCCGTAAAGATTTCTAGCCTTGGAAACCCTATGGGGCAGTCCTACTCTGACCAACAGCGTTGCTATGAGTGGGAATCCAGTCAAGGTCAGTGGGTTTTTTAAAAAAAGACTTTTGACTATGCTTCAGTATGTAACTGCTGTTATTAAATTCCTGATCTTTACCAAGCATTTTACCTTCACGCCCAACTTGATCCATACTTCATCGGTGAGATACACAGGCTCAGAGATGGGGAGACATTATTCCAAGATCACACTGAGAAGTGATAGAGTTGGTGTAGCTGAAGTCCAAACCCTAGGTTCTCTTACTGTGCCTGCTGGCACCTGTCCCCAAGTGCATTTGCATCAGTGGGCAAATGAGCAACTCTGACCCTGACTCCAACTCAGTGCGCCTTAGAAGCCTTTAAGTGGGCTCAAGCGTAGCAACGACTGTGAGGTTGGTGCAGGACCACGCAGTGTTTCCTTCTGTTGTGCATAAGGTCGCTATGACTTGGTACAGATTTCAGGACTCGAAGGTACTTAATAACAATAACTGGTACTCTCCCCCTGCTCCCCTCCCCAAACCTGGCCACACACTCAGGATGTGTATGGCATAGTCTTTAACTTTATGGCTATGTGATCTTGGGCAAGTTACCTGACCTCTCTGGGCCTCCATTTCTTCACCAGCTAAATGGAGCCCCCAATGTACCTGCCTTCTATAGTTGTGAGGTTGGAAGAGAGATTCCAGAAAGGAACACATGAAATGTGTTTGTTTGTGAATGTGTGAGTGTGTGTGACAAAGGTGAACTTGTGGTTTGTGTGAGTGGCAGCAGAGTGGCAGCAGGACATTGCTAATAGTTTTTGTTTTGTCCATTTTGGTGGTAAAGAATATATATTATAAAACATTTACCAATTCAATACTATTTACATGTACAATTCAGTGACGTTGTATTCGTCATGTTGTACGCCCAACACCACAGTTATTTTCCAAATGACTCTACCACCATTACCTCCAGGAACTCGGTGCCACTAAGCACCTCTTCCCTAGTGAACTTTGTTGTTGTTGTTGTTGTTAGGTGCTGTTGAGTTAGTGCTGACTCATAGCGACCCTACACACAACAGAAGGAAACCCTACCTGGTCCTGCGCCATCCTGACAATCATTGTTACACTTGAGCCCATTGCTGCTGCCACTGTGCCAATCCATCTTGTTGGGCATCTTCCTCTTTCTTGCCGACCCTCCACTCTGTTGTTGTTAAGTGACGTCAAGTCATTTCCTACTCATAGTGACTCTGTATAGGGTTTCCAAGGAGCAACTGGTGGGTTTGAATCACCGACCTTGTGACTCAAACTGACCTTGCAGTACGGCACACTAGGACTCCACTTTACCAAGCATGACTAGGACTCCACTTTACCAAGCATGACTAGGACTCCACTTTACCAGTCTTTTCTAGGGACTGGTCCCTCCTGATAACATATCCAAACTATGAGAGACAAAGTCTCACCATCCTGGCTTCTAAGGAGCGTTCTGGCTGTACTTCCTCCAACACAAATTTGTTTGATCTTCTGGAAGTCCATGGTTCAGTATTATGGAGCTGATGGTGTTCCACTGCTATTCATAAGATTTTCAGTGGGTCATCATTCAGAAGTGGCCTGTTTCTCCTTCTCCTAGTCTTTCTTATTCTGGAAGCTCAGTTGAAGCCTGTCCACTATGGGTGACCCTGCTGGTGTTTAAAATACCAATGCATAGCAACATGCAAACCACCATAGTACAACAAACTGACAGATGAGTGGTGGTTTCTATATTTGCCTAGTTATTTAAGTGGAAACGTATAATATTTGTCCTTTTATGCCTGACTTACTTTAGTCATCATCATGCTTTCAGGGTTCACTCATGTTATAGCATGTGTCAGGACTTCATTACTGTTGATGGCTGAGTGCTATTCCTCTGTGTGCACATATTACATGGGATTTATTCATTTATTTACTGACGGCCGTTTAGGCCTTTTGGCTATTGTGAATGGTGCTGTGATGAATATTGGTGTGCACGAATCTGTCTGTGTTTCTATTTTCACTTCTTTCAGGTCTATACTTAGATCCTATGGAAAGTCTATGTTTAACTTTTTGAGCAATTACCAAACCATTTTCCATTTTGCATTTCTACCAGCAATGGGTGAGGTTAATGAGACTGTGTGAGAGTGAGGGAGACTGAGCCTTGGCCTGGCTACTGTCCCTCTCCCAGGTAGTCCAGTGGTCCCTACAGGTCCCAGCCTCCCAGGTACAGACCCCACAACACAGCTCCTCATCAGAGAGGCAGCTCACATGCATCTGGGGACCACCTCCCTCCCTAGGGCAGGGGCCCATGCTGCTGGGGGGTCTCACGGAGCTTCCAGCAGCAAGCCCTCTCACATGGCAATGTCAGAGCCCAGCAGGACATACAAGAGAGCTTGAGAAAGTCCACAGACAAATTCCATTATGGCATAATTCCATTTTTCCACAAACTTTTTGAAGCCCCCTTGGGTACATCCCTGGTATGTTCCTGGTGGAACAGGCAGGCATTGTTAGCAACAGCTTTTCTTACCCAGAAAATGAAATGAAGGTGTTGCCAGGAAGTAGTGCGCACGCACACACACACACACACACACACACACTGATGAGCCCACTCCGACAGCAGGCAGAACCTAAAATACATACGTGTTCTCCATCAGCAACGTCAGGGCCTGTGCTCTGAGGGACTCGGTGGGTGGGGATGGGAAAGGGGTACGGGATGCACTGGGCAGTGAGGCTGAGAAGTGGACATGAGAGAAGGAGACTGTGTGCTTGTTTCTTGGCTCGCTCAATGGACAGCTGGCCATAACTGCTCCAAGATTAGTGTTTGTGGAAAAGGAATCCGAGGGGAGATCCAAGTGGCCTCTGGAGGGACCCTCCTGGACCTGAAATCTTTGTGAATAAGAACCCTGAAATGCCTTTGGACCAGAGAGAATAGGACTGTGTGTGGAGATGCCAAGCACACCAAGGCCTGGGAGGGAGTGATGGGCATAGAGCCTAGGACTTCCCCAGGACAGAGGGAACCACAGGCACTCCAGCCGGAGCCTCCATCCTACCTCTCCTCCTGAGGATTAATACGCAAGACTGCAAAGCTGTTTGAACTGCAAGGTTGGTGGTTCAAGCTCACCAGCTGCTCCTCGGAAATCCTATACAGGGTCGCTATGGGTTGGAATCGACTCGATAGTACTTCACAACAACTAAAAATTTTTGGTAAAATCTACATTATCAGCAATGAGAATGTATTATTTTTATACAGAGGGACATTCCAATGAGTGTTATTATTAAAACAAAGTCAAAGGCCCTGTCTTGGAATGGTCAGTTCCTGGATTATGTGTTCCTTTTGCCCTGGAGCCTGAATGTCCAGTCCACAGGGAGAGGACAACGTCTTAGGAATCATCGGGAAGCTGGCCCATCTGGAGCTGACACTGGGTTACTGAGACTGCTCCTGCTAGGGGCTGGAGGTGGGCACAGCAGCAGAAGTAGGTTCCTCCTCAGATCAGGGCTTCCTGAGACCACTGAGGAGCCTTGAGTACCTCCTCATGGCGGAGGCTGTGATGTTTCCATGGGCTCTTAAATCCTAGCTGCAAGGTGGATGAGGCAAAGTGAAGTGCTGTGAATCAAGAGGGTGCTATGTGATGTTTACAGGGGCATCTGCCCTCTCCCTTCCAGAGACAAGCAGGCTAGGTGACAGACTCTGCTCCAGGAGAATCCTGGCTGGGGCCAGTCTTCCCTGTGATTCCTCTCCCTGTACCTCAGTTTCCACATCTGTAAAACGAATGGGTCCCATTCCTGTTGACTTTCTAATTGCCACAGAGCCTCTTCCCTAAACAACCCCCACCCCACACCCCCGCCATGACCCAGACAGACAGATGGTGAGCCTGAAGACCTCTGAAGCAGACATATGCAGACATATGGGAAAGCAAACATATCCTACCTTTTGAAGTTCACAACGCCCTTTGGGATTCCTGTGGGGGTGTTGAAGGCAGGCAGGAGTTTTTCGCCAAGGCGTATGGCCTTTATTCGGAACACCTGTAAAGGAAGGTGCATGGGGCCTTGTGAGTCCAAGGTGCTGCTGCTGGCAGGGTGGATGCAGGCACTCCTGAGACCTTGCGGGGAGGCAGGCCTGCTTTAGGTTCTGTATTCCCCGAATTACTAGCATGTGACCTTAAGTGAGTCACTTTTCTCTGACCCTCAGTTTCTTTGTCCATAAAATGAGGCTACCATTGCCTTCCTCAGAGGCTTCTGGGAGAAATGAGAATTGGGTGATACTACAGTGCTATTCAATTATCACCAGTATGCTTAGGGGGAGTCCACACGAAGACCTGGCTAAGGGGAGGTAGGTGTCCCAATGCACCACGGGGACTGGGGCGTCACAGGGTGAGTGTTAGGGTGATGAGAAGTACCATATGGACAAGAGTGTAAAGAGCACTGGACTGGGAATCAAGAATCTGGGTTCAGTCCCTGTACCCCAAATTGCTTTTCAGCTGACCACTGCTTCCTTCTGGGTGCTGTTTCTCCATATGTAAAAGGGGACGGGCTTGATGTTTCTAAGCATCTTTTCCTTCTGACAGTTCCCATTTTACAGGTGGGGTGTATATAGAACAGGATGAACATGGCTTAGCCCAAACCACCCACACAATATAGAGTGCACGATAAAGTGGCCCCAGGTCCCCAGGCTCCTGGAGTGGCTCTGACCCCCTATACCGTTCCTTTAAGATGACCCATTGGTTCAAAAAGGCCTGTGACCTTCTGATTCAGCAGTGTCCCTCCTTGGGATTTATTCTAGGGAAATAATCAAAGTCCTAGTGTAGCACTGTAGGATAAGCACTGGACTGCTAACCACAAGGTCAGTAGTTCAAACCCATTAGTAATTCAAAGTCTCGGAAACCCTATATGGGATTGCTATGGGTTGGAACTGACTTGATGACAACAACAATCAAATGAAAATTTAACTTTGTGACTATTTATTTTAGCAATGTCTAACTAACCCCCCAAATCCCATTAGCACTGAATTGGTTCCAACTCAGAGAAACTCATATATCACCAAATAGAATTGTTCCATAGGGTTTTCTTGGCTGTAGTCTTTTTTTTTTTTAAGTTTTTATTGTGACTTGAGTGATAGTTTACATGGAAGAGCATCGGTTTTATACTCATCCTATCGTATTTTGTTTCATTGCAGTGATTATAATCCCCTCTGTGCATCATCATTCAACAATATTTGCTTCTATTCCCTCTGTTTTTGTTATTTTTTTGGATGTACACAAAAACACTCAGGGACATATAATCATTTAAACAACCAAAGGGCACATTCTGCAAGCCTGCCTCCTGGCTGCCACCACACAGCCTTTCTCTTTCCATGAGTCTGGAGTCCTCAGCTGCTCTCTCTCTCCATGTCATCACTTCTGGCTCCATCTCTGGTATCACTACTTCTCTGGATAGTGTCCCATATTCTGCTCATGCTCTACTCCTTTAATAGCTAGTTAAATGTCCTCAGTTTCTGGAATGTAAGATTAACTACTCCCCTCTTTTTGTTACAAAACTTCTACCTTTACAGTTGTGACAGTCACAATTAGTCTTGATAATAATTACTCACTATTGAATCATAAGAATCTTATCCCCATCTGCTTTCACCAGACCTGTCTAGACAAGATGAAAACTATTCAATGGGGACTCAACCTTCCCCTACACACTCTGAAACTAAACTCCCTCTTGAAAACTTTTAAGCCAGTCACTTCATGCCTTTATATCCCCGCACCCCCCATTTTAGGTAGTCAATGTCTAAATTGCTCATCTCTATCAACCCTGTGGCACAGAGGGAACAGGATTGGTACTTGGTGTGAAGATTCCTTCTTTCTTAGTTGGTGTTTTGAGCTACTACAGCCATAGGTATAGATCAGGTTCATCAAATTGTAGCAATTTACACTTGTTTCTTTTATCAAAATTTCTTTATTATCCATTAGTTGAGTTCTGATCATTAAGCCCTTGAAGCTAGGTAGAACGGGTGCCATCTGCAAGTTTGGGTGTTCTTGTGCATCTCCCCTCACTTCATATCAGCTGGATGCTTCACTTTCAGCTCTAGCCCTCTGTGGCTAGGCCCTTGTCCACAGGCTCAGGAGTCCCTAGGTCTCACCACACTTTGGATCAACCATTGGCTGTAGTCTTAATGGAAGTAGATCACAAAGCCTTTCTTCTGAGGTCCTGCTGGGTGGTCTGACTGGCCACACCAGGACTTTAAACTGGTTCTTTCTGGTTCCACCTCCAGTTGAGACTTTGCTTTCTACCCCAGATATACTGAATCAGAATCTATATTTTAACACAAGGAAAGACTTGTAGATCATTTTAATTTTTCTTTTGGCTGATTTCTATTTTCTGTGCTAGTTTTATAATAGAGAAAAGCCCACAATAAACAGTATTCATTTTTTGGTGGAAGATGCAAAGCACCTAAGCAGTTGCTCCAGGCAGGAGACATGTTTCTTGTCACTTCTGGAGCATGAGGTGGCCTGGTGTGCTGAGCTCCTCAGTGTCCCCGCAGCACATGCTAAGGCAGGTGTGGGGAATACAAGAAGAGCAGGTTGGGTGTAAGGGCATTTTAAATTGAAATAAGTCTGGTGGGTGTGGTTCTCTTAGGTAGCTCTCTGGTCATACTCCTGCTGAGACTCAGCTGTTAGGTACTGTGAGTCAGTTCATAGGAAACTCTTACCACTGCCTCCACCATGTACAACAGCACTAAACACTGCCTGACCCTGCACCATCCTCACAGCCGTTGCTATGATTCAACCCCATTGTTATAGCCATTGTGTAGTCCATCTCATTGAGGGTCCTCCTCTTTTGTGCTGAGCCTCCACTTTACCAAGCATGATGTCCTTCTCCAGGGACTGGTTCCTCCTGATGATGTGTCCAAAATATGCGAGACAAAATTGACATCGACATTTCTAAGGAACATTTTACTTGTACTTCCTCCAAGACAGATTTGTTTGTTCTTCTAGTAGTCCAATAGTCTTTGCCAACACCAAAACTCAAATGCATCAATTCTTCCTTCTTTGGTCTTCTTTATTTATTGCCCAGCTTTCACATGCATATGGTGGTGGTGGTTATGTGCTGTGGAATCAGTTCCAACTCATAGTGACCCTGTATAGGGCTTCTGAGGCTGTAAATCTTTACAGGAGCAGAACGCCTCATCTTTCTCCAGCAGAGCAGCTGGCGGTTTTGAACTGCTGACCCTGATGTTAGCAGCCTGATTCATAACCACTACGCTACCAGAGCTCCTACATGCTTATGAGGGGATTGAAAATATCATGGCTTGGGTCAGGTGCATCTTAGTCCTCAAACTGACATCTTTGCTTTTTAACACTTAAGAGCCCTTCTGTAGATTTGCCCAGTGCAGCACGCCATTTGATTTCTTGACTGCTGCTTCCACGAGTGTTGATTGTGGATCAAAATCAAATGAAACCATTGACAACTTTAATCTTTTCTCTGTAAATTGTGAAGTTGCTCACTGGTCCAGTTGTGAAGATTTTTGTTTTTTCTTATGTGGAGGTATAAACCATAGTGAAGGCTATTGTCTTTTGTCTTCATCAGTAAAGTGCTTCCAGTCTTTGCGGCTTTCAGCAAGCCAGGGTGTGTCATCTGAATTTTAAACTTTGTTAATGAATTTTCCTCCAATCCAATGCCACATTCTTCTTCATCTAGTCTGGCTTCTCAGATGATTAGATTAGCATACAGACTGAATAAGTATGGCTAAAGAATACAACCCTAACACACATTTTTTTCCTGATTTTAAACCATGTAGGATAAACATTGGACTGTAATGGTAAAGTTGGCAGTTCAAACCCACCAGTTGCTCATCGGAAACCCTATAAAGGGTCACTGTGAGTCGGAACCAACTCAATGGCACAATAACAACAACAGCATCCCCTTATTCTATTGAAATGACTGTCTCTTGGTCTGTGTACAGATACCACATGGGTATAACTAAGTGTTCTGGAATATTCATTCTTCCTAATGTTAGCTGTAATTTGTTATGATCCACACAGTTGAATGTCTTTGTTTAAGTCAATGAAACATAGGCAAACATCTTTCTGGTATCCTCTGCTTTCAGCCAAAATCCATTTGAGAGCAAGAATACCTCTCATTCCATGTTCTCTTCTGCATCTGAGTTTGAATTTCTGAGCTAACTCCACTTCATTGTTTCTCTCTGCCAGCCAACCAGCTCCTCTCCCTGGAGACCCTTAGAGAGGGCACTGCTCCAAGCTGGCACTGTAGGGTCTCAGGCACCAGGGGGAGTGACACAAGTGCCCTGGCAGCAGAGGCACACTGATCACCTTGGTCATAACTAGGTATGCCTCATCTAGGTGATTTCCCTTCCTTGCAACAGCTTTGTGGGAAAGGCGTTGATCCTCTTTGCGAAGAAAACTGAGTCTCAAGGAAGTGACTTATCCAAGACTGTGGTACTAATCAGTGGTTCTTTTTTAGAACATGAAGTTACCTTTTCAACAGGGAGAGGAATGGCTTTAGCTAGTCATCGGCAAGCAATGGGCAGCAGGGACTGTGGTTCCAGAACGGGGTGAGAAAACCCAACAAGAATTATATTCTGTGGAGTGGAAGGGGCACTGTGCTGGCAGTCAGAGTTGGGGTTCAGTACCTCCCACCTAGCAGCTGTATGACTCAGTTTCCTCTTCTGCACAGTTGAACAGTGATATCCACCCTGGCAGCTTCACAAGGATTTTATTGAAATCAAATGAGACAATAAATATAAGTGAATGTGCTTTAAAAACTGTAAAGCAGGGTACAGCTATGGCTATGGGAGTGGAGTCTCATGGGAATGGAGTCTCTGTAGGGCTGGTCTACCCAGAGTGACTCTCCTTCAGGTTCTCTCTGCAGAGAGGGGCATGGGGCCCCCTTCTATGTTCACTCTGCCAATAGTAATGGGAAATGTGAACAACAGAAAGACCCACTCCACAGACACCCACTGTGACAAGGTGCCAGGCTGACCCAAGGCAACAACCAGGCATGACGTGGAGAGGTCATAGGGTCAGGACAAATCCCACTGCAGCCCACAGAGACTGTGGCACCCTGAGCAAGTGTCTTCTCCCTAAGTCTTGGTTTCCTCATCTGCAAATTGGTGCTAAGATCTGTCTCTCAGGGTTGTTGTGAGAATCTCACAACACATGCACACACAGCACAAAGCAAAGGATTAGGCCAGTGGAAGTGTTTGGGGGATAGAGTGGGATCAGGATGGGGTGACTAGAAGACAGGACTTGCTCTGATGACCTCAAGAGCTGACCAGCTCAGGACTTGGTGCTGTCACTTTGGCATCTTGAGCTTCCTGGACTGTTTCTCAAGTCACATGCACCTGGCCCCATCCCGCTGTCTGCTCTTCATTCTGAGACACCAGATTGATGGTCTCTTCTAGAGAACCGAGGCTTCAACGCAAGTTCTCAGAAACTCAGGTATCTGCAGGGACAAGATGGAAGGAAGGACTGGGCCAACAACAGGTCTGAGGAGCCACCTGGTCCTTCCTGAATTGTTAGTCTTCAAACCAACCCCTGTGAACTCGGAACTGCCTGCCTCCCTCTCCCCATCACTGCACCCACCTACACCCACCCACACCCACCAGCTGGAGGCTGGGTAAATGCCAGGAGGAGAACATGGATGCCTTTTCCCTGCTCCATCTGCCATTTTCCTGTCCTGAGGTTTTCAAAGGAAATTCAGGTTCTGGGTGGCTCAAAACCAAGGGCTTCTATCTACAGTAATTTGGGGACAAATTGGTATAAGCAGAAATATCTGCTGAGGAGATTATGCTTGATGCAGAGGAGCAACTGGAGAGATAAAGCACACGCCTGTTGCCTCTAAAACACTTGATTTCACCTGCGTGCTCTTAACAGTTGAAGGGAAGTGAAATGACTTTCCCAAGGGGCAATGGTGCAGGTGAGGAACATCTTCCTGTGACTTGTCTTCCCTTCCTCCAAGGATCATCCACAGGGGCAGGAAGTGCAGGGAAGGGAAAGGCTGAGGCGGGAGAGTTGTGTTGAGCGGGGTAACCCCTGGAGATGAAGACACTTTGTAATTTTCAAAATTGTTTTGCTATGATGAGAATGTGGGTTTTGGAGTATTCAGATCTGGGTTTAATCTGTTTCTTCCTTGCCCATTTTAGAGCAGCTCTTTGACCCTTTAAGGGGCTAGTAGGGCCATCACCATGGTGTGGACTAATACCCATCTGTCAGTGTCTGTCTGTCATACTGTGGTGACTTGTATGTTTCTGTGATGCTAGAAGTGATACCACTGGTATTTCAAACACCAGCAGGGTCACCCACAGTGGGTAGGTTTCAGCAGCGCTTCCAGACTAGGCAAAGGAGCCTGGATACCTTCTCCCAAAACCTACCCAATGAAAACCCTGTGGATCACAATCTGATCTGATAGAGCGAGGAAAGATGAATCCCCTAGGTTGGCAGACACTCCAACCACACAAAGGCTGCAATATGGACTTGAGTATGCTAGTGATCGTACACATGACTCAGGACCAGCATCCTTTCTTTCTGTTGTCATTGGGATCGCCATGACCTGAAGCCAACTCAACCACAACTAACAACAACAACAATGTATTGGGGAAGCAAATGAGGCCCAGGGAGGGGTGAAGGGCCTTGCCCAAGGCCACAAGGCAGGTGAGTGTGGCCCGAGGAATAAAATCTAGGCTGCCTGACTCCAGGCCCAGGGCTCTGCCATCTAACCACACCTGAGGGTCCTTCTTGTGGAAGTCGATGCAGCTGATCTGAGACTGGGACCTCGTGCTTACCACCAGGGCTTCTAACCAGTTCATTCCAGTTTGACTTTCTTCTGAGAATATGCATTTCCACTCCAGATGTACTGAGTCAGAATCTTGGTAAAATGTAGATTCTGGTTGTTGCTGTTATGTGCAGTCAAGTTGGGTCCAACTCATAAAGACCCTGTATAGGGTTTCTGAGGAGCAGCTGGTGGGTTTGAACTGCCAACCTTGTAGTTCAAACCTACCATGTAGTCCAGTGCTTATCCTGAGATGCCACACCAGGAGTGGTGGTGGTGGCGGCTGCTGTTGTTATTGGTGTGCCATGGAGTTGGTTCCAACTCATAGCAACCCTGCATAGGGTTTCCAAGACTGTCAATCTCTACAGGAGCAGAAAGGCTCATCTTTCTGTGTAAATTCTCAGCAGGCCTGAACCGGAATGGACCAGTTCTGAAGCCTGACTTACAGCAGACATGTGAGCAGCAGTAGAGATGGTTTGGGGCTTGGGTTGCCCATTTCCTCTCTCAGGCTTTCGTCCCCTTGAGACCTGGAGCTGGGGGGTGGGTGGGGAGGTGGTGGGAGGGCGGTTTGGCTGGTGGTGGTCCAGGAGGGGAGACCAAGGAATAGCTGTGGTAAGATAAAGCCGAGGGGCCCTGGAGGATGGAAACTGAAACGATGATCTTGGCTTCATCAGTCCAGCACCAGCGCTTGGGAAAACAGCCCAGTTGCTCCACATTCACTATGGAACCCAGAGGAATGCTGGGTGCTGTGTGAGAGGCTGAGTGAGTGGACACAGTGCTGTCCTCAGACGACCTACACCTACTATGGGAGATAGAAGGAGCTGAAAGGTCAACAGTTCAAACCCACCAGCTGCTCTACAGGAGAAAGACTGAGCTGTCTCCTTCTGAAAGGCTTGCAGCCATTCTAATCTAGGGGCAATTCTATTCTGTCCTAAAGGGTGGCCCAGAGTCAGAACTGACTTGAAGTGAATGGGTTGGGTTTGGTTTTAGTAGGAGACTGTCGACAGCTCACTGGGCACCAGAGAAAAAGCAGGAAGAGTTTTCAGAAAGCCTGGCCAACAGGCGCTTAGGAGTCTGGGTGGGACATGGTAGCTTGGACAAATCTACCCCCTTGAACTGTTGTTTTCTCAGTGGTGAAATGAGAGGTGGGCTTGGAGGACCTCCATAGCCCTTTCCAGCCTGGACAGTCCAGGAGCTGTCACCCCGTGGTTGTGAAGGGCCTACTCACCTCTTCTCCTGTCAGGTAGAAGGCTGAGAGGAGTCCTCCTATATAGCGGATGTTCACCTCAAACAAGGATGCCTCTCCACTCTGTAGGACAGAAGAAACAAGGGAGGACAATGGGGACACTCAAAGATGTCCTCTGAACTCCCAGAGACAGCAAGGTCCCTCTGATATGGCCACATCTGTGCTTGGTTCTGGAATGTCCCTCAAAGACCAGGTGTTTTTCATAGCAAAAGGTTTTCGGGCTTAGCACCTGGCTGGGAGGTCTTGACTGCTCATTTACAGCCTTCCGAGTAAACACTGGGCTTGGCTTTCTCTTCCAGCCCTTTCTGGAGGCCGCCCCAGAAAACATATGCTGGCTCTGCTCCAATGGGTTCAAGAACCTGCATGGGAGCTGCTGACGGAAGCTTAGCCTGAGGGGAGGCAAATCCTTCTAGAGTTGGGCCCCAGTCTCATCCCCAGCTTAACAGGAGGACACAGAAGACACAGGGCATGGGGTGGGCTGTCCGAGGTGACTCTGGGGTGGGCAGGGCAGGCCCCAAGTGAAGCAGGAATCAGTCAGTGCCAGGCAGACACCTGTACCATAACCAGCAATTTCGCAGGCTCTTGGCGTGGTAGCCCTCGGGGCACACCTACGCTTGCTTTAATCATCGTTATTTTCTTTCTTAAGTCTGGACTGCAAAATCAAGGGTGTTTGGGCACCGCGCCAAGGCCTGGAGCTGGGTTAAAATCCCACCTGAGTCGCTCACTCAGTCGCATTTGGGACTTCAAGCAGGAGTTTCTTCATGTGTGGATAAGGATGACAGGGCCTCCCACCAGGGCAGACATGTACAATGTGGTCCAGTGCCTGGCATGATCTTAATAAACGGGGCCTGTCGTTACTTCCCTTCCCCTGGAGCTCCCATGGATGCCTCCTGCATCATGGCCTTGGATTATTGATAACAACAGTATTAATCCCTTTATCTGGGAGAACTTTTCCACTGACAGAGTAATTTTATTCTTATTGTGGAAAATATAAGAAGGTAAGTTTAAAAAAAAAAAAAAAGGATTGCTATAAAATATTAGAAACCTTTATTAAACAGAAATATCAAAATGTGAAGCTATTGTTTCTTGGCATATCCTCCATCTGGGTCTATGTGCACTTCCGAAGGTGATGCTTCCAGCTCTCTAAGTCTTCCCTGAAGAATTCTGCGCTTTTCAATGGACACCATGTCAAAATGACAGTTTTACTTTCCTTGAGGGACTCAGATCGTGTTTTTATTAAATGTTCATTGAGTTTGTGGAACACAACAGAAGGGGCAAGATTAGGGTTGTAGGGTGGGTGGGGTAAGGTTTCCTAGTGAAATTCTCATACGACAACTCTTGCTACCCTTGAAGAATGAGCAGGTGAATTTGCTGTGATGGAGGAAAATTCCTGGGCTCAACTTTTCTAGCCTTTTTCTCACCAAAGTAGTTTTCAATTTTCCTAAAACTTCTTTCTAAATAAGTCTCCATGATTATTCTGTGTCCTTTGAGAAAATCTATCAAGATGACCCCTTTAGAGTCTAAAACACAGTCACCATAACCTCTGAACTGAGCTCTCTGTCTTGAATTGTTCTAACTAGTCCCCCGAGAAGCCACGGTATTGACTGGAATTTTTTAAAGGTATCTTTAAGGAGTCCTGGTGTGGTGCTGCAGGATAAGCACTGGGCTGCTAATCACAAAGTTGGCAGTTCAAACCCATCAGCTGCTCCTTGGAAACTCTATATAGGGTTGCTATGAGTTAAAACTTAATAGCATTTAATAACAACACGACTACGACAAGTATTTTACAGAGAAAACTTGTTTGCAGCCATCTTCTGATCGTAGTTGTTGTTGTTGTTAGGCGCCATTGAGTCAGTACCGACTCATAGTGACCTTATGCACAGCAGTATGAAACACTACCTGATCCTGGGCCAACCTCACTACTATTGCCACGCTTGAGTCCATCGATGTTGCCACTTGGCCAATCCATCTCGTTGAGGGTCTTCCTCTTTGTTTCTGACCCTCCACCTTACCAAACATGATATCCTTCTCCAGTGACTGGTCCCTCCTGACAATATATTAGAAGTATGAGAGACGAAGTTTGGCCATCTTGGCCTCTAAGGAGCACTCTGGCTGCACTTCTTCCAAAACGTATCTATTGGTTCTTTTGGCAGCTCATGGCACTTTCAATATTCTCCTCCAACAGCATAACTCAAATGCATCAATTCTTCGACGTAGAGACATGCTTAAATATGTTTGGTTTGAAATAAACCCATGCATATCATCTATGAACAGGTGCCCTAGTAAAATACTTTTTGATGTTCCCTTGTATATGTAGCAAAACATTTGGTACGTATACAACGATCTTTACATATACAATTCAGTGACATTAATTATGTTCATCGTGTAGTTTAACTATCACCATTTTCTATCTCCAAATGTTTGCGTCACCCATAAGAGAAGCTCATTGTACCTTAAACAACGAGTTTCCCTTTCCCCTTCCTCCTGCAACCTTTGGTAAACACAAATGAAGCAGTTTGGTCTCTAGTTGTTCTTTGTTGTCCAGATGCATACTGACCTTATAGGACACGGTTGTTGTTGTTGTTATGTGCCATGGAGTTGGTTTTGACTCATAGTGACCCTACACAGGGTTTCTGAGGCTGTAAATCTTTACGGGAGCAGACCACCTCATCCTTCTCCCATGGAACTGCTGGTAGTTTTGAACTGCCAACCTTGAAGTCTGCGGCCCGATTCGTAACAACTATGTTACAAGAGCTCCTTATGGGACACAGTAGAACTGCCCCATATGGTTTCTCAGGCTGTGATCTCTGCAGAAGCAGACTGCCACATCTTTCTCCCATGGAGCGGCTGGAGTGTTTGAATCACCAACCTTTTGGTCAGCTGCCCAGTGCTTAACCACAGCACCACTAGGACTCCTTTCAGTCTGTTTACACCTGCCTAGTCCAGATAGTTCATTTAAGTGGGATCACTGATGAAGCCCCTTTGAAGTCACTCTCTCTTACCTCACTGTGCTCTTCCTCATTTCCTGATGAGACCGTCAAGGTTAGAGAGGCAGGGTAGCCCCAGCTTGGCCCAGCCAGCCTGAATGTCCCCAGGCTCCCCTGTCCTGCCACTGACTCACAGTCCCTCCCCATCCAGAGGAGCCACGCTTGCAGAGGGACAGGGCAGCCTATGGCCATAGACCCCTTCCTGCTTCTTCCTCTGACTTCATCAGAAGAGGTCATTCTCTCCAAAGTTCCCCACCTCACACAAACCACCAGGGCTCATGACAAGTGTCACAATAAATAACCCCAACAATTGGGATGACTAAGATGATACCGTCTTACATACGTATTTGATTTTATAGTGTTATAAAATGTAGTTTACAACCCCATTGTGTTTAATCCTCACAGCAGCAAGCCTGTGAATTAGGCAGCATTTGGGAACCCTATACAAGGTCTCTATGAGTCAGAACTGACTCAATGGCACTTAACAACAGCATTGTTAATTGGCACAAAGGTTGAGCACTCAGCTGCTAACTGAAGGGTCAGAAGTAAGACCTCAGCAGCTCTGCAGAAGAAAAAACTTGATACTCTACTTGATTGTCATTGTTGTGAAGTGCCGTTGAGTCGGTTCTGACTCATAGTGACCCTGGATAGGGTTTCTGAGGAGCGACAAACCCTATGGGGTAGTTCTACTCTGTTCTTAGAGTTGAGGAAACTAAAGCTCTGGAATTTAAAATGACTTGAGCGCTGCCCAACAGCCCGGACTCAGGGTCTTCCGCTTCCAGGGCATCAGCCCTTCTTGCACGGTGGTTAAGCCAGATTCTTCTCTGTGTGTTTCTCTGTCAGCTCTGCTGCCAAATTGGCCTCCGAAGACGCTCAGCCTCACTTCTGCACAAGCTGCCGGAGCTGCCAGAACCCAGCCCAGACCCTGCAACTGGTCTCTGGTGTGCTTATCGTGACCTCCTGACCCTCCCACCTGTCCTATGTCTCACTCCCCAAATCTGTCTAAACAGCTTCTCTCTCGGGTGAACTGAGACCTCCAGGACCTACCAGTTAGGGTGGGGTCTGGTATTTAGGGCTCTGTGACATCAAAACACATTGTGATCCCCTCTGCCAGGTCCCTGATCCTGACGGGGGATGCCGTGTGCCTGGAAATCAAGGGGTCCCAATCAGGCACCCCTAACCCCCCGCCAAGAGAACAGTGCAGATGCTGCTCCAAGCAGGAGAGCTGGCTTCTCCTGTCCACAGGCCACTTCTCCTGCTGTTGTTGCTGTGTCCAGGAATCAGTTGGCTCCGGAAGGGACTTTTTGGGTGTGAGCAACATGCTTAAGAGGAAGAGGACTGACACCAGGGGAAGAGGCCTGGACAGTACTCAGGACCAGCTGGGATGGAGGTGAGGTCAGGCTGTTCTTAGGGGAGGGAACTCTCACTGAGCGTACCAAGCCCTGGTTCTGGGGCTCTTGGGGAGACCCTCTATGTCTTTGGGCCTCAGAGATGACAGATGGAGCAGCTCTAATGTAGCGGGGGACCTGGAACTCACCACATTCAGGTGGAAGCTCTCTTCAACCCAGGCCTTGGCCTCCTGGAACTCCTCCTTCAGCTCCATGAGGTAGAGGGTGTCGAGGGCATCAATGATGGTGGCCCCACTGAGCCCTCCTGCAGGGACAGAAAGCCAAAGGCATGTCCTGGAGTCATTCTTCTTCTTTCCATCCCCATGAAATAAGCTACCATCCAAATGCTCTCACGGACTCTAGGTTGGCTGGTCTCAGGCATGAGTCCTAGGGGAACCCAGTGCAACCAGGAAGGTGAGTTCAAGACCCAGTGTCCTCCCCATAGCAGCAGAGAGCAGGCAGGAGAGGCCGTACTCACAGGCTGGGCCACTGCCCAGACCTTGGTCCACTTGTGTACCAGTCAGCTAGTCAACTACCCACCACCATCCCATGACACTGGAAGGAAGTTGCCTGGCATTTGGTCTACAAAAATCTTTGAAAACAAGTCTTCTGACTCTTCAGTTATGCTATTTTATTCTAAGGGGGAAATAAGTTCATATATCCAGGAAAATATTATTGTAGTACTGTATATAATGGGGAAAAGTTGAAAAACAAAACAAAATTAAAAAACTCCTCCAAGTCTATCCATGCTGTTGTTAAATTCAGTGACCCTACAGTAGAACCGCCCCATAGGATTTCCAAGGTTGGACTCTTTATAGGAGCCGGTTGCTAGGTCTTTCCTCCCACAGAGTGGTTGGTGGACTTGAACCACCGACTTGTCGGTTAATAGTTGAGTGCTTAACCACCACATCCACCAGGGTTCCTAGCCCAGCAATAGGGCATTAAAGCCCCAAACCAAAAAATATTCCACTGCCATCAACTGGATTCCTAATCAGAACATTCCTATAGGACAAAGAAGATTGGACTCATAGGGTTTCCAAGGCTGCAAATCTACAGAAGCAGATTGTCATATCTTTCTTCCATGGTAGGTTTGAACTGCTGACCTTTCAGTTAGCAGCCAAGCACTTTAATCACGGTGCCACCAGGGATCCTTAATAGGAGATTAGTTACATAAATTATGACTCAAACATAATACATGGGAGAGAGACACAGGTCTGTGTATTTAGTTGGGAAGTTGTTAAGTTAAAGAAGCACAGTACAATCTCTTGTAAAACAAATGTGTGTGTGGGAACGCACATGCTCACAGGAATGGGAATGCAGAACTAAGGCTGGGAGCCCCTGACCTGGTGGTTATTTCTGAGTGTTGGCATTCCAGGTGTTTTTTTGGTTGCTTCAACTCACAAATCAGGTTTATAATCAGAAACATGTGTTTCAGTTTTGTGGGGGGTTAGGGTGGGAAGGAAGAAATAGTTTGGGAAAAGAAGGCAAAACAAAAGACACAAACTAATGACTTCCTGGCCATGCTTGCTTGCTCCAGGACTGTGAATTCAAGAAGTGTGAGCAGTGAGGACTGGCTCTCGCTGCTGGGTCTCAGAGTCTAGTTGGGGGATGAAGGCTGCGGTAACTATGCAAACAACAGTGTTCCATACCATACTTTGGGCACGTGGGACAATCAGAGCCTGGAGCGTGAGGGACTATCTGGTGGGCTTCTCGGAAGAGGTGGCGGCCTTCCCACATCTCCTTGGCTATGCTACTCAGATAACTGTAGAGTGATCGCCAGGAGCAATATTTCCCGTCAGGGACCAGAGTGTAGGCCCAAGAGGACTCACTGTATCTTCAGTGGGTTCTCTACAAAGGGCTCCAGGCTTCGGTAATCATCAGCCCGTCTTCCCCTGCGGGACCTCCTCTGAGCTCTCTGACAGCCTCTGAGTATCACTTGAGTCTGAAGCTCTGGCTTTGTGGTACCTCCTACATTCATTCAGAGTTAGCATCTAATCTCCTTAATTAGAGCATCCCTAACTGCTCTCTTGTGTTGACTTTGCATTCAGAGAATCTTTCTGAAACTCAAACACTTAAAAGCCTCTCTAGACCAGGCAAGGTCTGATAAAGGGCCTGGCCAGGATAGAATGGGAGAGAGAGAGAGAGAGGTAACCAGGAGGGAAAAGATAAGGCTGGAAGTTGAAGAATCCATCGCCAGAGGGAGGGTTTGCAATGGAGAAAGGGCGGGAGAACAGCATGGCTTCCCAACCCTGAGTCACAGGCCTGGGGATGGCTTTGGTGTTTGGGTTGAAGTGAATTTCCAGACAATCAATCCCTCCCACACTCAAGGACTGATACAAAAAGATACCCCAAGCCAAACAGAGTTGATTCCTTGCAGGTTTATCAGGACAGCATCCTCTGTAGTTGACCAGGGTTGAGTATAGCTCTGGGGCACTTTTCCACCTTCTGTGCTCAGACCACAGAGCATGGGGCCTGCTGGTTCTGACTCACTGACATCACAATGCCTGAGTCCTGATTTTTTAAGGGGCTTGTGGGATTTCGAGAACACCCTGCTCAAGCCCTTTGAGGAACCCCAGGGTCCAGGTGCTTCAGTGTGTTTCTACCGCCCAGCATGGTCTCTCAATTCCCAGTGCAAACTGTTTTGGATCCAACCCCACCGGCTCAGCACCCTGCAGCAGGCAGGGGGCCACTCTGACCAGTTAAGGCTTGAAGAGAAGCCCAAATCAAGCGTTATTTAAGTCCTGGGAGAAGCGTCCAAGAATATCTGGTTTCTGCATCCTGCCCTGAGCTGCCTGGTGTTTCACCTCAAGGGCCCTCCTTTCCCTGGGTTGAGCATGAAACCACGGGCCAAGGACCTCGGCTGGGTTAGGCGGGCAGCCAGGGCTCCTCGTGACCCACTCTGCCTCATGATGACTCTGGGGACATTTTCCATTCCAAATGCTCCCCACAGCTTGCTGCTAAGAAGGCTAAGAGATTTATTGGCAAGATTCTGCCTCTTGGGTTGCTGAATCCTTCTCTCTGTTGATAGCCCATTCTGGCGGGCACCTACCACACAACTGGGCCACAGTCCAGTGAGGCACTTATTGGAAAGCTGTTCATTTCAGTTCATAGGTCAGCCTGCCACTAGGCTGGGCAGGAGTAAAGGCCCTCGCCTGAATTCAACCCTCTCTGGACCTAAGGCTCCAGGGCAGCTCTCTAGGGGAAAGGACAGCAGCCTGGGAGCAAACACGCCCACTATTCACATGCAAACAGCCAAGAGGTCACTCAGAGTCAGAGTCAGCTAGCGGGCCTCTTCCCTGGGCCTAGGACTAGTGGCCAGGTTTCAGTTTGGCCCTCCCCCAGCTCCTGCCTGCACTCTTTCTGTTCACAAAAGACCCCCTTCCTGTCAGGGCAGCAGGCAGAGAGGTTGTCAGGAAGGACACGGCCCAGGAATCAGACAGCCCCAGGTTAAAATCCCAGCTTGGGGCAGCAACCCATCTGCTTAAGCTCCCAAGTGCTCATTTGTAAAATGAAGTTAAGACCACTGGGCAGGGAATGAGTCATGGAAAATATATCATACACGTACATGCCGCATGACACAGAGTAAGCGCTTGATAAATCAGTTTCTTGTTATTATTTCTAGGGTCTCTTAGCTCACATTGAGACACTGGCCTGGTCAGGGAGTGGGGAAGGGGAGTGAGGTCTGGGTTACTAGCTCTTTCCCTTTGGAGGAAGGGGCAGTGGCTGTTTTTGTTTTGCTGTTCTTACTTCAGCTACTGAATGGTGGTGGTGGTGTGCCGTGGAGTTGCTTTGGACTCACAGGGTTTCCGAGGCTGTAAATCTTTACGGGAGCAGAAAGTTTCATCTTTCTCCCACAGAAAGGCTGGTAGTTTTGAACCGCTGACCTTGAGGTTAGAAGCCTAATTCGTAACCACTACAACTGCATAGAGTCTCTTTAAAGCAACCTCACGTAGAGGATAAGAGGCTGGTTTTACTGTCAGGGAAATGAGGGTTTGAATCCTAGCTCTGTCGCTTTCCAGTTGTGAGTCATTTTAACTCTCTGAGCCTCGTTTTCCTCATTAGCAAAATGAGAACGGCAGGACCTGTCTATAAGGCTGCTGGGAGGACTGAATGGAACAGTAGATGGAAAGAGATCGGCACATGTGAACTCAGTCTAATAAAAAGAAGCTGGAACGTCTGGCCCTTTGCAGAGGCCTCTGGGCTGGTGAGGTTTTGTGGTGTTCATGAAGGAGCTCTGGTAGCATAGTGGTTACGAATCAGTCTGCTAACTTCAAAGACAGCAGTTCGAAACTACCAGCTGTTCTGCGGGAGAAAGATGAGGCTTCCTACTCCCGTAAAGATTCACAGCCTTGGAAACCCTGTGCAGGGTCACTATGAGTTGGAGCCGACTCCATGGTACTTAACAACAACAACAATGAAGGTCAGGAAGGTCTGGGGTGCTGCTCAGGGCAGGAGATTCCAGCATTCAAAAGTCTTGGCCCAACTTAAAAGAATGTGCCACCTGGGCCCCGTCCTTATCTGGTGCTGCTCTAACAGAAATCCCACAAGTGCATGGTTTTAACAAACAGAAATGTAGTCTCTCACAACTTGGAGACTAGAAGTTTGAACTCGGAGTGCTGGCTCTAGGAGAAGGCTTTCTCTCTGTGTCTGCTCAGGAGGTCCTTGTCGCTGGGGCTTCTGCTTCCTGGTTCCTTGAAGATCTCCAAGTATCTTGACATCTGTCTTCCCCATCCCTCTTCAATTCACTTGATTGTTTAATCTCTTATGTCTCAAAAGAGATTGACTTAAATACATCCTACAGGAATCCTGCTTTGTTAACATAACAAAGCAAAACATTCCTAAGTGGGCTGATGACCACATCCATGTTGTTGTTAGGTGCCATCGAGTTGGTACTGACCCATAGTGACCTTATGCACAGCAGGATGAAACACTGCCCGATCCTGGGCCAGCCTCACTACTGTTGCCACGCTTGAGTCCATCGATGCTGCCACTTGGCCAATCCATGTCATTTGGGGTCTTCTTCTTTGTCTCTGACCCTCCACCTTCCCAAACATGAGATCCTTCGCCGGCGACTGGTCCCTCCTGATAATATGTCCAAAGCATGAGACACGAAGTTTGGCCATCTTGGCCTCCAAGTAGCACTCTGGCTGCAGTTCTTCCAAAACGGATCTGTTGGTTCTTTTGGCAGCTCATGGCACTTTTAGTATTCTCCCCCAACACCATAACTCAAAAGCATCAATTCTTCTACGGTCTTCCTTATTCACT